ATATAAACCCTCACAAAGAAAAAATGTGATTATAATTAGTTGAATTATTCTTTTTTTTTTTAATGTGATTGTAGTTAGTTTAATAGTTCTTTTTTTTCATTTATTTATTTTATTATGTGAGAAATGTGATGTGATTGTAGTTTGTTCAATGGCTCTTTTTTTTAATATGATTGTTGCAGTTGGTTCAATAGTTTTTTTTTAATGTTATTTAATCTTTTTATTTACTATTTTAATTTTATTTTTGATTTTTTAATATGATTGAAGTTAGATAAATATAAACACTCACAAAGAGAAAAATGTGATTATAATTAATTGAATGATTCTTTTTTTTTTGCTGTTAGTTCAATGGTACTTTTTTTTTAATGTGATTGTAGTTAGTCCATAGTTCTTTTTTTCATTTATTTATTTTTTTTATTATGGGAAAAATGTGATGTGATTGAAGTTTGTTCAATGGTTTTTTTTTTTAATGTGATTTAATCTTTTATTTACTGTTTTAATGGTTTTTCTTTACAATTATTTATGAAAAAAATATGATTGTAGTTAGATAGTATAAAAATATTTGTGATTTGATTTGATTTGATTTTTTTCTGATCTGATTTTTAAAGTACCAATTATTGATAATGATTAGATTGTATTTTGAAAAAAAAATTGTAATTGATTTTTTTAACTCACTGTGTTTTTTGAAAAAAAATTATTGTGTTTTTTTAACTATCAATTAACTTAATTTGTGATTTGATTTTTAACTCACTGTGTTTTTTGAAAAACAAAATGGATTGTATCCATTAGGGTCACATAATGTACCAATTATTGATGATGATTAGATTGTATTTTGATCACACAAAAAAAATTGTAATTGATCTTTTTAACTCACTATGCTTTTTGAAAAATAAATTATTGTATTTTTTAATTATCAATTGACTTAATTTGTGATTGATTTTTTTAATTATCTATACTATACTATATAACTTGTGATTGATTTTTTTAATTGACCCCAAACCTTGTAGGAGCTCCAATCTCCCAATCCAAATTTCTTGATTTTTTGATTTAAAAAAAAAAAAAAACTTAGCATTTATTAACTTCTCCCAACTCCCAAGTCTTACCCTCATAATAACACTTTAATGCATTAAGAACAAGCATAAAAAATTTTTATTGAAAAGTCCAACACATATGATTATTATCAAAATATTAAACTTTAATACAATATAATAAAAAAAAGAAGACATTTATTTTTTTTGAAAATTCCAACACATATGATTATTATCAAAATATTAAACTTTAATATAATACAAAAAAAGGAAAAAAAAGAAGACATTTAAAAAAAAACATTTAAAAATCGCAATTCACATATAGAGATAACTAGCCTATCACTTGTGCTATGCACGGGATAATTATAGATATTTATATTTGTTTTAGATTTTTTTTAATATATAAATTATGTTTTTCAAGATTTTTTATAAAAATAATTTAACAATCTTATCACTAACCATAGTGTATGAGAGAAGTTGAAAAAAGTATTGTATTTATAATTATTTGTATGAGGGGATTTTAAATGCTGATCAAGAGATTTTAACCAAATCAATAAATGCAGGCATGTGGGCAGGCATGTGGATTGAAAAAAGTTAATAAATGCTGATCAGAGGATTTTGACCAAATCAATAAATGCTGAGTTTTTTTTTAAATAAAAAATTTAGAAAATTTAGATTGAGATATTGAACCTCCCACAGGCCTTGGGGTTAAAAACCCCATTTTGCTTAATATATAGTACTAGCATATCACCCGTGCTATGCACGGGTTGTATTTCACTACTTTGTCTTCTTCTTTTTTTAAATGTCTTTTTTTTTAATATTATATTAAAATTTAATATTTTGATAATAATCATGTGTTGGACTTTTCAAGGAATTCATATGTATTGGACTTTTCAAGAAATTTTTTTAATGATTATTCTTAATGCATTAAAGTATTATTATGAGGGATAATAATCATATATGTTGGGACTTTTCAAGGAATTCATTGTAGGTTAGAGATAGATGCAAATAAATAGATAGATATAGATATTTATATTTGTTTTTAATTTTTTTTAATATACAAATTATATGTTTTGGAAAAGGTACTGTAGTGTGTGGGTGAAAATCTGACCACACTGCCCGCTTAGTAATCAGCTGGAGAGCACCGGCAGAATAGATGGCTTCAGAAAACCTGTAACAGAAAGAAAAGGCTCCGGCGGTGGCTCTTCCACCCGGGGGCACTCCGATGATGAAGTCAGTATATCTCTCAAAGATAATCAAGTGCTAAAACTCACAAGCTTGAGTATAAAACTGTGTACCTTAGACCCACGGGGTTGCCTCTCTTTTATAGTTTACTCAATCCAAGTCCCACTAGAGGCCTAACTTCTATGGACTCCAATTTAGTGCTTACTTTGGATTTCTCAAGAGATAAAGATAAACTCCCTAAGAGCTTTATCCTTATCTTAGCAAAGTCTTCTCTTGACTCTAGGACTCCTGTCCCTTATCTTTTATCCATTTATCTCAGATTTCGATATCTTCGGAGATAACCTCGGCCTCATCAAGATAACCTCGGCGTCACAACCAGGACACGTGCAACTTCGGCTGACACGTCGGCGTCACCATACCACGTGTTGGTATTTCAGAAAATACATCCCCACAGTTTGTGTAGAAAATCGGCATTCTGAGGTGATGGAACCTATATCTGTATTTTCTTCCAGTACCTCGGCGTGCAAACTCTTCGGCCGAGATCATTCATTTTAGGCCGACATGCCTTCATCAGAGAACAAGAACTCTAACGAATTCCCTCACGCGCATGAGCTGTCATGCATTTCTTCCCAACCGTTCCCCCTACGTGTTCTTATCGTCATTGGCCCGTGTCTATGACGCGCTTGTAAGCCGTCTTTCTCCTGTCTGCGCCGTCTGATGCATACGTTCCTCTAGGCGCATTAAATGCCCTGTTTTGCCGCCGTTTCAAGTTTTTGATAAAACTTTTCTTTCCATCTTCATTTCTTTACTTTTGCATTCGATTTTCTGGCTTTCTCTCTCTTTAAACTTTCTCAAACCTGCCATTGCTCTAGCTCCAAGTTCTGCAACTGTCTTCATTCTTCCATTCCAGCGAGGGTTTCGTCGTTTCGTCGTGTCTATAGCCGTTGCCTTACTTCGGTGAATTTAATCCCGGCTTCATTTGTTCTGGTAAGCCTCTGTTCCTCTCATTCCTAATTTCTTTCATGTGCTTTCGTTTACTTACTGCCATTATTGCTCTGTTCAAACCTTTGATTTATTGAACTATTTATCTGGATACATCTATTCCATGATTTCACTTATATTTTGAACACTTGCATTGTTTCAACACTTTTCTTGCCACTGTTCTTGACCTTTTACTTCTGTATTTCTTTCGCTTTTGAGAACCACACCTCTGTTCTTTGATTCTGAAACGTCGTTCTTTGTTTCTTGTTTTCCAGATTTCTGCCTTTAATTTTTGCTTTCAATCCTTGCCTTCATAGATTTAGGTTTTGGGTTTTGTTTATAGAACCTTCAATTTTTAGGGAAAATTGAAATAATCCTTACCAGTACATACCTACAGTTTTGCCGAGGTCCCGATAACCCCTTAAGAACACTTTCTTTCCGAAACCTAGCCTTCTGTCTTTTAGGCCGACGTTATGGGTATGTGGAGACATAGGGTTGATCCCCCGACCAAACTTGAGTACTTTAGACAGGAGTTCTCCATCCCTGCCGACGTCCACCTGAAACTGGCTGGGGATGATGACTCCATCATGCCTACCGAAAACACCATGCCTCTCCCTATTGTAGCCTTTACTGAGTGTGGACTTCGACTTTCACTTAACATTCTTTTTCGCGAGATTCTACATTATTATAAATTGAACCCTATGCAACTTGCCATAAACTCTTATCGAGTGATTTTTGGTATCATCGCCTTAGCCAAACAAGAAAATATTAGAATCACCCTAGCCGACACACAATATTGTTACACCATGTGCCCCCTTAGCCTGAAGGAAAAAGGTTACGTCTACTACCTCAAGGCGAGGTCCACTGAATTCAAAATCGTAGCCGGCCTCCCAGATTCCAACAAAGGGGCTGGAGATGACTACTTTATTGTCTCTGGAAATTGGGAATTTGCCCCAGACGAAGATGTTCATCTATACCCTCTTCCTCGAACGGTTAAAGAGGGCAAGGGTAAGAGCCCAATGTTATCCGCTTAGTTGTTCTTTTTCAAGTCTTCAATATTTAATCTGTTTCTAATGTTTGTTTCTTCTTGCAGACGTTCGTAAGTTACCGAAAGATTTTCGTCAATCCTACGTTCTTAGCAAGGATCTGAAAAGGCTCTTGGACTTGCCTGTCTACAAAAGGAAAGCACCTCTCCTTCTGAACTTTATTCCGTCATACAAATCCACACTGCCCGACGTCCCAAAAAGAAAGAAGAAGAGCCTATCTCCTCCCTCTACTACCACTCTACAAACAGCATCAACATCTCGGGCTGACCAAGGGTCAACCTCTGATCCAACCAACCAACCATCAACTTCAGCCCCATACTTAGTCCTAATACCAGAAAGAAAACGTCGGCAACGACTCGTCAAAACTGCTGAGATGGGTCGCCTGAAGCCTGTTGCCCAAGATCTCCTAGCCGACCTTCCCACGGATGTTGATGCTCAACCGACGCAGACCATGCCCCCACCAAAGCCGAAGAGAATTAAAAAGGCTCAGCCTAAGGCCAAAGCTACTGAGGTTGAGGCTGAGGATGCTCTACCCATCTCACAGTTGGCTGAGAGTAAAAAGAGTGCTTCTACTTCTGCCAAGAGGCCTGCTGAGGCCCAGCCGTCAGAGTCCACTCAGTCAAAGAAACCAAGGTCGGCCTCAGCTACTACTTCGGGGTCCAAGAAACCGGATGTCCCTTGGGCTCCCAAATTTACTTTGGAAGACAGGCCAATTATGTCCAGTGAAAGCGCCGACGGCATAAACGTCGGCGTTGCCCTTAATATGGCGTTGCTTCTTCCGAGTGACCTCGAGCGAAATGCTGAGTACAGTGAGTACGAGAATTACGCTCTAATGCTTCAGCACTCCGTTCAAGTAAGTGTTCCTGCTTGGAATTTTCTACTTTCTTTCTGTTTAAAATATTTTCTAACACTTCTGTTTTCTTTCAAGCCATCCAGCATGCCCATTCGTTTTGAAGAGAGAGGTTTCTGCCTTGAAGAAGGAAAACAAAACTGTTTTGACGAAGATGAAGAAGCTGGAAGATCAGGCCGAGGCTGCCACTAAGGCCCAACAGATGGCCGAAGAAAAAGCGGAGTCTGCTGAGGCTATCAGAAAAGTTGCCGAGGCCGAGAAAAAAGAGGCCGAGGTAGAAAAGGCCCAAGCCGAAAAAGAGCTTCAGAAGGCTCTAGCCACCAAAAAAGCCGAAATCAAGGAAGCTGATGAAAAGGCTTACGCCCAGGGCATGGCCGACATCACTGAGGAATATAAACTTCAAGTCAGGCAGGCCTGCAACAAGGGCTTTTCTCTTGGTTGGATGGCCCTTGCCAAGAAGCTTAATATCCCAGATGACTCGCCATTGCACAAGGCTAATGACATCCCTCTGCCATTCCCTCCACCTCCGCCTCCAAGCCAAGCTGAAGATGATTCTGAGTCTGAATCTGAGGATGAGGATAAGGATGATGAAGAAGCTTTGGTACGGAAACCCAAGGATACCAGTGAGACCAAGTCTCCTCCTCAGGAGGTTCAAGTCCTAGACTTGACTCATGAGGAGGATGAGGAGGTTATTAAGGAGACCACTCCTGAGCAAGCATCGTCTGATATTCCTCAGATCGGCAAGAGCATTGATGAAACCCTTGCCGAGATCGACGCCGAGATTGCTGCAGATGAGGAAGCCGAGGTATCTCTTCAGGAGACTTCTGAGGTTCTGATCCAGCCAAATGCTGATGCTGAGAAGTCTTAACTTTTATGTCTTTTCTTTTGCTCCTTTTTACTTTGTTTTGTTTTCTGGACAATGTAAGCTTCCTTTCATGGCCGATGTGCCTTGCTTTGTTGCTTCGAAACATTTTAGTTCTGATTGGCCGTAGTGCCTTCTTTTGTACACAACTGCAACTGTCTTTCTATGATTGCTTCTGCATGGTTTCTATACTTAGAATATTTTGCATGCTTTTACATACTTCTTCCTTTATTGTGTAATCTTCTCGGGATTATATACCTCGGGTATAAGACTTTTACTTCGGCAAGATACTCACCTGCAAACTTTTCATAAGTTTCAAGAAGTGTAAAACATATACTATTCAATGTCAACTTTGCAAACTTTTTCTCAAGTTTCAATAAGTATTTAAACAGTGATCTCGGTCTAACCTACTTGTAAATTGCTGCAAATTTCAACAAGTGTTAACATATATGGTAAATTTTTCTCAGGTTATAACAATGATCTACTTGTAAATTGCTACAAATTTCAACAATATACTTAGTTTTTACCTCAACCTGTAAATTGCTGCAAAGTTCAACAGATGATCACATGTCGGCTTAACACTATCTTGTAAATTGCTACAAATTTCAACAAGTGTTAAGTATGCAAACTATAACCTCGGTTTCACTTTGACTTGTGAATTGCTAAATATTTCAACAAGTGAAGAGAACCAGTAATCTCGGTTTTGACTTCAACTTGCAAATTGCTACAAATTTCAACAAGTGAAGATAAGGAATCAGCTTAACTCCAGCTTGTAAATTGCTATAAATTTCAACAAGTGAATTAAGGAATAATCTCGGCTTAACTCCAACTTGTAAATTGCTACAAATTTCAACAAGTGAAGATAAGGAATCAGCTTAATTCCAACTTGTAAATTGCTACAAATTTCAACAAGTGAATTAAGGAATAATCTCGGCTTAACTTCGACTTGTAAATTGCTACAAATTTCAGTAAGTGAAGATAAGAAATCAGCTTAATTCCGACTTGTAAATTGCTACAAATTTCAACAAGTGAATTAAGGAATAATCTTGGCTTAACTCTAACTTGTAAATTGCTACAAATTTCAACAAGTGAAGATAAGGAATCAGCTTAATTCCAACTTGTAAATTGCTACAAATTTCAACAAGTGAAGAAAGGAATAACATCGGCTTAACTTCAACTTATAAATTGCTACAAATTTCAACAAGTGAAGATAAGGAATCAGTCTTAATTCCAACTTGTAAAATTGTTTACAATTTCAACAAGTGAATTAAGGAATAATCTCGGCTTAACTTCGACTTGTAAATTGCTAACAAATTTCAACAAGTGAAGATTAAGGAATTCAGCTTAATTCCGACTTGTAAATTGCTACAAATTTCAACAAGTGAATTAAGGAATAATCTCGGCTTAACTCAACTTGTAAATTGCTACAAATTTCAACAAGTGAATTAAGTGTCTCTGTCTTCTTTCTGCCCCAATGTGAACCTGAGTTCTACTTGGGTTCTCATTATTCATGTCTCAAAAAACACCAATATAGTAACTTTATCCATCATATGTGTTTTAAAGAAAAGGGAAAAGATTTTATTGATGACATCGGCCAAAAATACTGCATATCTAAATGATAGAAGAATTTTAAATTACAAGTGTTCCAAGGTCTTGGCAGTGCTTTGCCCTCGTTATCTTTAAGCCGATAAGCTCCATTGCCTAATACTGAAGTAATTCTGTACGGTCCTTCCAGTTTGGGCCAAGATTGCCCTCTCTGGATCTTTTCATTGTTATCCCGACGACTTTTCTCAGGACTAGGTCGCCGACTTGAAAATCTCTTGGATTAACCTTCTTGTTGGTAAGCTCTAGCAGCTGTTTACTGGTAACATTGGAGCTGAATTTACAACTTTCTCTCTTTGTTCTTCCAAAGATCCAGATCTCGGGGCTAGGAGTATGTCATTGGTGCGCCATTCTCCACTCCCTGGATTCTGATCCTGGAATTGCCGATCTCCAATGGGATGATTGCTTCTGTGACATAAGCCATGGCAAAAGGGGATTCCCCTGTTGATCTTCTCGGCGTAGTCCGATATGCTAAAGTACGTTGGCACTCCTCCACCCACTTTCCTTTTGCTGCCTGCCAGCCTCTCTTTATTCCATCCCAAAATTTACTTTGTTGGATGCTTCTTGCTTGCCCATTGCTTTGGGAAAAAAAAAACTTGGTGTTGAGAAATAATTCTTGATTTTGAATTTTGCACAAAAGTTCTTGATGAGTTTGTTGTCAAACTGTGTTCCGTTGTCGGCAACTATTGCTCTTGGAATCCCAAATCTGGTGATGATGTTTCTCCATATAAAGTTCTTGACGTCCGCATCTCGAATTTTGGCAAGAGGTTCTGCCTCTATCCATTTTGTAAAGTAATCTGTTGCCACCAGCAAGTATTTTCTCTGCCCAATTGCTTAGGGAAGTTTCCCAACCAGATCCATGCCCCATTGGGCAAACGGCCAAGGGCTGGACACTGGGTTTAGGTCAGCAGCTGGCTGATGTATCAAAGGTGCAAACTTTTGGCATTGTTCACACTTCTTTACGTAGGCTTCAGCATCCTTCTGCATGTAGGGCCACCAATACCCCTGGGTAATGGCCCTGTAGGCTAATGATCTGTCCCCAGCATGGCTTCCACAAATTCCTTCATGAATTTCATACAGGAAATCTTCAACCTGTAAAGGGTGTACGCACCTTAAAAGTGGTCCAGTAAAGGACCTTCTGTAGAGGTGTCCATCTTCTGTCAGAAAGAATCTTGCCGATTTTAGTCTGACTTTGTGTGCCTCCTTACGATCTTCTGGCAGCTTTCCTTCTTTCAGGAATGCAACAATTGCATCCATCCAGTTGGGCCCCATGTCCACACACATTGCTTGCTGCTCTGTGTTCTCTGGTTCTATGCTCGGGCCCGACATATAGTCGATCATAATTGTCCTTGTTTTTCCAGTTTGCATTGAACTTGCCAGGTTAGCCAACGCGTTGGCGTGGGTGTTGTCATCTCGGCTAACTTGGAGTAGTCAGCAATTCTGAAATAGGGCTGCCAATCTGATGACCTCTTTTGCATATGCCGACATCCTTTCGTTCCTAGCTGCAAATTCCCCTGTGGACTGGTTAACAATAAGTTGTGAATCACAAAAAACTATTACCTCATCTGCTTCTGCTGCTGATGCCAGTTTTAGCCCTGCAATTAACGCTTCGTATTCCGCTTCATTGTTTGAGGCCTTGAACCCCAAACGGATGGACTGTTCTATTATTTCTCCATCTAGAGATATCAGCAGTACTCCTGCCCCCACTCCTTGTCGGTTTGAACTTCCATCGACGAACAATCTAAATGAATCGCCGATGTAGATGCTGCAGGGTTTGAGTTTCTCCTTCCTTTGTTCTTTTGCCCTAGGCTGGGATTCTTTTTGCTTACTGGGACAATGCTCATCCTGGCTCAACGGAGCCCGATGTCCGATGGTTTCGGGGGTGAATTCTGCCACGAAGTCGGCCAAAACTTGGCCTTTAACTGCTGTTCTTGGCCTGAACTCCAGGTTATACTGTCCTAGGGCTACGGCCTATCTTGCTATCCTCCTGTTAAGTCGCCTTGCTGCAACAAGGACTTCAGTGGATGCTCTGTTAAGACCACAATCTTGTGCGCTTGAAAGTAATGGTTCAACTTCTTTGAAGCCATTACTAAGGCTAGCATTAATTTTTCCAGTGGTAGATACCTTGTTTCTGCATCGGCCAAGGTTTTACTTACATAATAAACAGCCTTTTGCTCCCCTTTTTCTTCTCGGATGAATACTGCACTGACTGTGTGTTCTGAAACTGCCAAGGACAAAAACAGTTCTTCCCCTGGTTCTGGATTGGAAAGAACCGGAGTTGTGGTCAAGTACTTCTTTAGGTCGGTCACAGAAAGTCTGTGGCTTTTTTCACCAAGTTGAAGAAGGGTCTGCATTTATCTGAGCTTCTGCTGATGAATCTGTTTAGGGCTGCGACCCTTCCAGTAAGCATCTGAACCTGTTTTGCCGACGTTGGGCTCTTCAGCTCTAGGATGGCCTTGATTTGGTCTAGGCTGGCCTCAATCCCCTTTCTCGTTACCAGATAAAAACTTACCTGATCCAACTCCAAACGCGCACTTTGATGCGTTGAGTCGGAGCCGTTATGTTTTGAGTATATCAAAGACCTCTTTTAGGTCGGCAAGATGTCCCTTAGATTCCTTGGTCTTTACAACCATGTCATCGATGTAGACTTCTACCGTTTTGCCAATTAGGTGCTTGAACATTTTTGTTACTAACCTTTGGTAAGTTGCTCCTGTGTTTTTCAACCCAAAAGGCATTACCTTGTAACAGTACAGGCCTTTAGGGGTGATGAACGCGGTTTTCTCCTCGTCTGAAGGGTACATTACAATCTGGTGGTACCCCCTGTATGCATCTAGAAAACTCATTCTTTCATGCCCTGAAGTAGCGTCTACGAGCTGGTCAATTTTGGGTAGAGGAAAGCTGTCTTTGGGGCAGGCTTTGTTGAGGCTGGTAAAGTCTACACAAACCCTCCATTTGTCGTTCTTCTTCTTCACCACAACTGTGTTGGATAGCCAAGTTGGGTAGTAAACTTCTCAGATGGCCCTGGCCCCTAGAAGTCTATCTACTTCTTCTTCTACTGCTTCGACGTGCATCAACGTCGGTCTTCGGGCTCGTTGAATCACAAGTTTTGCCGACCTGTCGATGTTCAGTCTGTGGCAAGTGACCTCGGGGTCAATGCCAGGCATCTCGTAAGGTGTCCAAGCGAACACCTCAATGTTGGCTCTCAAAAAATCTTCCAGTTCTCTTTCCTCTTCTTCGGCTAAGCCTAAGCCGAAAAGAAAGAAGTGTTCTTCGTCGCCCTCCTGGACAAGGATTTTCTTTAGTGTCTCTTCATTCTTTTCGGTTGGCTCCTTGCCGACATCATCTAGGACCTCCATGTCCTCGTCTTTAATCTCTACCTCTTTTGGCTTTTGAATGCTGCAAGT